AAACCACACCATAAAGCTGCTCATCCCTGTACCTTCTAATTTTAGGTTATGAAGGGGTCCAAGTAATTCTCACAACGGCATTTTCACATTGTCTGAAGGATTCTCAATTAGGCATTGCAGGTTTAATATTAACATTGCTGAACAGATGAAAATTGTTGGTAGGAGGAACACCATGACCTTTTGAGTGTACCCACAATACATTAAAATGGACAGATGAGCAGTCATAATGACCTCTGAGAAAAGATTGAAAAGGGAAATGTCTACATAAATAAATGAGAAGGAAATAAAAATAGCAAGGCACTTGCATTTAAAATAACCAAGCAAAGTGCCAAAATAATTAAGTGAAAAGCCACTTTAATTCCAAAGAAGCCCTTTAGCATGAGTGGGATTGTTGAGACAGTGGTGAATTGTTTATGTGTCAAAAAAGACAGACGCTGGCATCCTGATCACTTTGCTTTCCAATATAGTAATTATTTGTTATAGGGAATGTGAAATGTTCAGATCATCAGGCATCAAGTAGCAAACAACCATTTCTGAAAGAGAGAGGCTGGATCCATAATAAAACAGCTCTGAAACTCTAGATTTCAGTGTGAACGCAAGAATGAGAGTGATGCCCTAAGGACAGGTTCTTATATCACACATACAGGTGTTTAAAACGTGAATATTAAGAGAGTGACAAAAAAGTGAATATATATATATATGTATATATAGGAGAGTAAAAATCATATTTGGTACATGTTTGAGAATTTAAAAATCTCATTAATTTGATAAGCAAGATGGGAATATCAATAATGATTTTTACTAACAGCAACAAATTAACACTATAACATTGCATAGCTTAGAATATAGTTTTAAATATATGAAGTTAATTTTTTCCAGTGTAAAAAATCCAACTTTACATTTAACTTTAAGTGTATTTCCTGAGAATCATTTATTTTTCTTGGGAAAAACAAGTGATCCCTGTTTACTTTTCCTTCCAATGATTTTAAGAGAAATAAGTAAAGTACTGATTGGTTGGTTAGGCTCTACCCAGGAAAGGAGAAAACACTGTAGATATTTAAAACAGAATTTAATCCAGGGAAATGGTTACACAGATGATGGAAGAACTGAGAAGCTATACTGGGGATAGTGACTCGACCTGGATGGAGATTAGCAGCAGCAGGAAGACAGAGGCACTACCCACCCACAAGTCTCAAGGAACAAAGGCAAGAGGTGATATTACTGTAGCTCAGAGTTCAAGGACACTGGGGGAAGCCTGAGGCAACAGAGACTGGGTCTGGGGACTGGAAATTTCAAACCATCGGGGTCAGACCCCATGGAACGAGCAGAGTAGGAGCAGGACAAGGAATGGACATGAAGGTAAAAACAGGTACAGACTGGCACAAGTGGAAAATAGAGAGTTAAGTAAATAAGCTTTCCAGTTTAATTTTCTCCTCCAGAGTAATATTACACTAGGCAAATTGATTTACTGATATTTTTAAAGGATACTAAGTTTAGTGCCTGGGAACTGCATTCAACCAACATCTTGCAAATAAATGAAATCACCAACTTAGTTCCACATGCAATCCCAGTAAACCAAATTTACACACCCTTAAGATTATGAGAGCATTATCCACCATCATTTCGAAGTTAATCAAGTACAAAGGAAGAAGCATCACTGTCTTTGGGATTAGATTTAGACGGTGGCCTACGCTCTGGCAGTTGCACTGTTTTATTCAGAATTGTGACCAGGTATATTCTGATGATCTGGATATCATCACTCTTCAGTGTAGATAATAAAGCCACACATGGAGAACTGGACTCAGAAGGAGGTGGAGACACATAATGTCCTCAGTGAGACCACCACTCGATGCCCCCAGCCCTCCCCGTTCTGCTGTGCAATGACGATGGCGTGGAGCAGACTGATTGTAAGGTGCCAATTTGCAGGCTCATGAATCTCTCTTGAAGCATGGAAGGGTAATTATGTATGATGAGGTAAAAAATACTTATCCATCCATTTTATGGCCAGGCAAAACAAAGCTTAATGTGCGCACGTGAGCATGGGTGTGTGCTTAATGGTACACGGCAGTTTAGAAACAGCACTAACCTAAACCATGTTCTAGTTTCATTTAAGAATTACAAAATCTCCCCAAGGGCAGCCTCCGAAACGCCAGCCTTTTGTCACACACAGGCCCGCTAATGATTAAACTGCCATTACCACCATCACATTTTCCTCTGGTTTATGCCCTAAAAGTGTGGTTTTGTCTCATTTTGGCTTATTACTCTGATATTAAGTATGTTAATATATTTTAAAAGTTAGAAGACCTTTGCCCTGGCCAGTTTGGTTCAGCAGTTTGAGCGTCGGCCCTTGGACCAAAGAGTTCGATTCCAGTCAAGGGCAAATACACTGGTTGCAGTTCGGTCCCTGGCCCTGGTCAGGGTTGTGTGGGAGGAAACCAGTCGATGTGTCTCTCTCATGTCGATGTCTCTCTCTCTCCTCACCTTCCTCCCACTCTATCTGAAGGTAAGTGGAAAAATTTCCTCAGGTGAGGATTAAAACAAAACAAATTAGATGAGCTTTAGCATAGAATGAAACATTATGGCATTTTCTTCATAGAAACCAGGAAGGGATGTCAGGGCCCTCTGTCTATCTCATGCCTTATAGTTCACATGGTTTCTGATGATTATAAATAAATAAACAAGGGCTTCTGGTCAAGATGGCAGGTAGGTAAACGCGGTATCGCGTCCTCCCACAACCACATCAAAGTTACAACTAAACTACAGAACAACCATCATTCAAAACCACCTGAAATCAAGCAGAATGGAAGTCCTACAACTACGGAATTAAAGCAGCAGCCACATCCAGACTGGTAGGAGGGGCGCAGGCGCGAGGGGCAGAGGCGCAACGGGCTGGTCCCACACGCACGTGTGGTGGATAAAAATCAGGAGGCTACCTCACCTGGGAAGGTCCTCCCTGAGGACTGAGGGGTCCTCATCCCACAACAGGTGCCCCACTCAGGGCTCCAGTGCCAGGAAGAGAAGTCCCCATAACTTCTGGCTGGAAAAACCAGCGGGAACTGAGGTTCAGGGAAGCTGAGGCGGCTGGAGCCCCAGGCAGCTCCTTAAAGGGCCCGCGCACGGACTTATCGGACTCTCTCCCTCTAAGCTCGGAGGGGAGGCAGCTCGAGGGGCACCAGAGACACACAGGGAAGAACTGAGCTGTTTGGTACTGGAGCGAGGGCTGGAGAGGGGGCTTTCTCCGGGACAAACGTGCTGTCAGGGGCCTTTGTTCCTTTGGTGAGCCCTTCCCTGGGGCGGCAGACAGCCGCCATATCTGGGACCCCAGCAACCTGGCTCACACTGGTAGCCCCACCCTGGTGACTCTCTGAGGCCCCGCCCCACCCAACTTTCAGGCCCACCCAAGCTGTTGCCAGTTGCTTAAGCATAGGATTGGCTTGTCTTGGATCTTGCTTCAGGTTTTCCTAAATTCTTTCAAACAAGCAGCATCTGGTCTCAGCTAGCCCCATACCGCTGGTTAAGTAACACACAGAAACAAACAAAGGGAGGCAGCCAAAATGAGGAGGCAAAGAAATATGTCCTAAATGAAAGAACAGAACAAAACCCCAAGAAAAGAACTAAGTGAAATGGAGATAAGCAACCTAACAGATGCTGAGTTCAAAATACTGCTTATAAGGATGCTTAATGAACTCAGTGAGAACCTCAGTGAACTTAGTGAGGGCCTCAAGAGCATAAAAAAGGACCAGTCAGAAATGATGGATGCACAGTCAGAAATGAAGGAGGCATTAACTGAAATTAAGAATAATTTACACAGATTCAATAGTAGAGGATGTAAATCCAATAAGCAAACCATTGATTTGGAATATAAGGAAGCAAAAAAACCAAAACGCCCAATCAGAATAGCAAAAAGAAAAAAGAATCCAAAAAAATGAGGATAGTGTAAGGAGCCTCTGGGACAACTTTAAGCAGGCCAACATTCGCATCTTGGGGGTGCCAGAAGGAGAAGAGAGAGAACAAGAAATTGAAAACCTGTTTGAAACAATAATGGCAGAAAACTTTCCTAACTTGGTGAAGGAAACAGACATACAAGTCCAAGAAGCACAGAGAGTCCCAAATTAGATGAACCCCAAGAGGCCCACACCAAGACACATCATCATCAAAATGCAAAAGGTTCAAGACAAAGAGAGAATCTTAAAAGCAGCAAGAGAAAGGCAGCTAGTTACCTACAAGGGAGTTCCCATAAGGCTGTCAGCTGATTTCTCAAAAAAACGAAGAGAGTGGCAAGAAATATTCAGAGTGATGAAAAGCAAGAACCTACAACCAAGATGACTCTATCCTGCAAAGCTGTCATTTAGAATCGATGGCCATATAAAGACTTTAGAAAACGTTAAAGGAGTTCATCACCACCAAACCGTTATTATATGAAATGATGAAGGGTCTTTTTGAAGAAAAAGATAAAATATATGAACAATCTCAATGGCAATGAATACATATCTATCGACCATGGAATCTACAAACAAACAGTCAGAACAGAAACATTCTCATAGATACAGTGAACATTTTGTTGGTTGCCAGATGGGAGGGGGGTTGGGGAATGGGTGAAAAAGGTGAAGGGATTAAGAAGTACAAATTCATTGCTAGACTGACAAACTTCAAAAGTAAAGGGGTTGGGGGGTGGGAAGAAATAAACCAAAGAACTTATATGCATAACCAATGGACACAGACAATAGTGTGGGAAAAGGTGGGAGGGGGGCAGGAGTGGGGAGGAGGGGGTAAATGGGGGAAAAATGAGGAACATCTGTAATACATTCAACAATAAATATTTAAAAATAAATAAATAAATAAATAAACGAAAGGCACAAAATTACATCTTTCACTGGCACCTCACTAAAAGTAAAAAATAATAATAGTTAACCCCATTTTCTTTTCATGCAAGGAGAGAAGAACTTTAAGGAGAAATAGTTCAATGTTATTCTTAAATTCTTTGTTTTAGACACACTCACCTAAAATTCAGTAAAGAAACAGCATGAACTTTCCAAAACCATCTATTTTTTCTTTGAAACGTCAGTTGACTATGGCATTTAAAAATTTCCCAAGCACTTCATCCAGGGAATGGTAAATCCTATTTATCTGCAACGAGAAAAAAGACTTTTATTTACTTAAGCAACTCATAATTACATGTTTATTACAGAAACAGGAAATCAGAACAGGTCTGTCTAGAGCATATGGTATTTTACAAATTCTCTTACACACTAATAATGATTTGTAATACTCAACTTAGAGCCTTGGTTTTCATTCACTGTAAGAAATATTTAGAAAAAGAGATATTTGTGCAAGAAGTCATTTTATAGATGAGGATGGTGAAGCCCAGCCTGGGGTGGCGTGGAGATGTTATGTGTAATATTAAGCAGCTGGTTAGAAACAACCTTGAATCTTGGGCTCTAAACCCAGCTTGATTAAAAGTCCAGAAACAAAAAAAGATGAAACCTTCTGTGTTTTTCAAGTAGGTAATTTTCTGTAATATTGTGTCACTATAATTTCCACTACAGCCAAAGAAATTAGTTGAACCAGTGTCCTAGACCAGCATTTCGTCTACTGGCTTAAGCTTGAGCGGTTGTCAATAGATACACAACCTAAATTATTTGATGATCCATATGATGTATTATGTTGTGTAGCAATAGCATAAGTAGTAAATAGTTCAGAAAGTTGCCTCTTAATGTTTCTTAGTGAAGCTGAACGATTTCACAAGCTTTTGCCTTCTGAAAAGACTCACATGTGAGAACATAGAGATTGGTTCTAGACTGCCCTTCCCAATGCTAAAGATTTCCTGTCCCTAGGACCCAGCTACCCTACTCACCATCTCCCATCACCTAGTCTTTCTCATCATCCTCTCTTCTCCCATCCCATCCCTTTCCCTCTCACCAAATCACGGGATGGCTATTTACTATTCCAGGTGCTAGATGGCTGGACGCAGCAGAAATGTGAAGCGCAGGAACTCCTATGCTAAGATGACGGGAAAAAGTGGGAAGCGGGGTATCATAGAAAAAAGGGGAGAAGGCATTTGATGGCAGCGGGAGTGGAAAAGGAAGGGACAGAAGGAGCCTAGCTTTGCACCCTGGGTGAAAGGTACAGGTCCCTCTGATTCCAGTTCCACCACTGTGCTTTTCTCCCTGATCTGTTGTCTCTAACCCTGGGTAGTCTAAAATGATTACAAGAATTATTTAGCTTTCATGGTTTTCAGGCATCCTATGATTTTAGATTCAAAGAGAAAATTATCTTCAATAATTCCCCCTGCCTCTAATCCAAGTTCTCAGATACATTCATTATTGCATGAGATTTATTTAACAGCAAATAAAAAAATTTGCATAACACAATTAACCTTTGTTCTGCTGCATTAGAATCCAACCTCTTCCTGTACTTAGATTCTAGATACATACATAGATTTGGCATTCTTTGAATTAAATGTATTAATAGAATAGTAGTACTTTCAGATATTTTTTTGTTTTCTTGAAATGCATACTACTATTTTTTTTTTTTAATTAAGGTTCAGGTAAATCAGGTTTATGCATCTGGGAATATGTTATATATTAAAAATATTAATCACTCTCTTATGAATGCAGCTTTCCAAGCCATAGCATCAGAAAATAAATGGAAATCTTAAACAATATTATATGTACTTTTATTTAAGACCATATATATATATAGATACACTTTTATTTAAGAATATATATATATATATATATATATATATATATATATAAATCATACACATATAGACTTACACCCAACTGTATCTGGCAATAAAGAATCACTCAAGAAATCCTTTGGTAATGGCCAGGGGACCTCTCAGGATGATGCCACTGGTTGTTGCTCCTCTACCTGGTAATTTTGGGAAGGATGTTTTGCATTCAGTTTTTTCCAGGGTCATCCCAGACTGCAGTAGACTAGGAAGGATCTGAGACAAGGCTCAGATAAAGACGCTGTGTTAGAGTCCCCCTGAGAGTGGCTCAGATTGTGCACCCTAACTAGGATCTATGACTCTGATACATGTTACAACTTGGATGATATCTTCATTGTAAGCTGGCTTTAGTTTTTGCTGTTCTTCCTCCACCAAGAAGTGGCCCCATCCAGCCTGTTTCTCACAGCCAGTGATCAAAAGCAGTTGTCTGATCTACAGGCAGCTCCATCCCTACCCCTCTTGGCTTCTGTCCCCTGGAGCGGGCAGAACTGAATCAGATCCAAAACGCTTTCCACTTTCCCGCCTCCAAAACTCCCACTGAATTAAAAGCATCAGTCCTACTCTCTTCTCTTGCTGCAGCACATGGGACACGTGCAAAGCAAAATTCTCATGTGAAAACTGAGTAGAAGCAGAAACACCATTCTTTCTTTAAATTCTCATTTGAATTCTCCATCAGCTATCACATTCTAGTTTGACTAGTGTGTGGCTAGATATTAAAATTTAGTGTCAGGGGATGAAATAAAATACTTTCTCCTTTATCTATCTTCCTAAAGAGTATCCCATCAGTGTCCCAACTGGAGTTAGGAGTCAATATGTTACCATGGAGTAAAACAAGAGAAAGAAGAACCTTGTTAATTTGGAATGCCATGTTTAAGCATATGGGTTGGATGGAAGTTGCAGGAGGCAGATTTTTGCCCAATAAGAGAATCCCCTTTTAGAGCACATAAAAGTAGAATGTGCTCCACCTGAGAAAGAGAGTAATCTTCACACCAGTGGAGTCCATTTAAATTAAGGCTGGATAATCATCTGTGGTGGTGGGATGTGGTCAAGCACAAGGATGGTGCGAGGAGTCACCCCCAACTGAGATTCGGTGGGAGCCTGTCAAATATTAGATTGGAGTGGAGTAAATATCCACATTTTTATTTATATTTATGACTATACTGATCTATCCATCTAAAATAGCATTTCTCCCTCACTCTCTACTGCTTGCCCTGATAGATTTTTCTGCACAGCACTCTTTCACTATTTATCATTCATTCATTGTCACCCTACACTAGCATATAAGCTCCATGAAGGCAGGCATATCATCCACTATTGCACTCCTGATGCTCAGAACAGTGCCTGACAAACAGCAGGCCTGCAGTAATATTTATTACATGTATATATATATTCTCTTTTCTTAAAAACATTTAATCTAATTTCCTCTTTCTTACCTTTATGAGTTTACACCATACAGAAAATAATTTCATCATATTGAAAAAAATGAAGAACTCGAGTAGGCATTTTATGTACTTTCATTGTTAGGTAAGAATAGGATAGCTTCAATGTTAAGAAGAATGAAGATGAAGCTCTATAGTACTTCTGTAATCTCTTCTTCTCTTTTTGTTACACTTGGGAGTTTACGGTGTGAGGAGTCTAGCTTACTAGATTTCAGAGGTTAGGATGGAAACAGCTTTTGCGAACCAGCTACAGATGATGATGACCGTAGGTATGCAAAGGGTGCTCCAGAGCAACGCAAAGATTAAGAGCCCCGCTGCATTCATACACATATGAAACTTGGTCTTTTCTGGTCCTTGACACTATCTTTGGCATAAGTTGTAGCAACTTTTAAGGGAGTTTGGATAAGAATGATTAAAGACACTTGGGACCGAAAAATGGCGGCGGAGTGAACGGAGCTACACAGACCGTCTCCCAGAACCAAACTGGAATTACAACTATAACACAGACAAATCGACGGGAAAAACCAACAGAAAAGCAGCTTGCGAGGACCATACAACGAGGGACACTGACTCCATCCCGGTAGGCTTGCGAAGGCGCGAGACGGGGCTGGGAGCGCACGGTCGGCAGCTCGGCAGCGGCCTGAGCTATAAGCGGCGCCCGCGGGTTACACTCCCAGGCGGCCCCACAGCGCAGCCGGGACTGAGGCTAAAACAGCCACAGCCACTCACCTTGGGCTCCGGCAGAGGGAGGGCAGACTGGACTGGAACTGTGTCGGGACACTCGGGGTTTGGAGGGCTCTCGGAGCTTTGGCTGAGTGCAGCCACTCAGGACGGTGGCCACATTGCTTCTTCCCAGGGCTCTGAGAGAGGCAGCAGCCCCTCCCTCGGAGATCCAACCCCACCCTGTGGGCCATTGAAGTGCTAATTGAGGCTCACTAAGGACCAGCATCTGCCCCGCCCTCGTGAAAGCCCCTTGGCTGAGCACCAGAGGGAGTTTTTCAATCAACTGACAACCCAAAACTCATCAATTAACCTAGACTGCTAGCTTCCAGGCAAAAAGCTAGAGGATAACAGTACGTTTCCTGGGCTGGCAACTTTAACCAGGAAAGTAAGACTTGACAGTGGTGTTCAACGCGGGTCCTCCCTCGCTCATCTAAACACAGGAGAGGGAGCCACAAACAGCAGAACACCAACACCCACAGGGAGAACTTGACAGGCTCCAAAGCCCAGAGTGATAGCTAAAATGGTGAAACACAGAAACAGAAGCCAAATGAAAGAGCAAGAGACCTCCACCGAAGATGAGATCAATGTGGAGCAATTAGGCATGTTAACAGAGCTAGAATTCAGAGCCATGATCTTGAGGAAGCTGAACAGCATGAGTAAGGACATAGAGACACTGAAAATAAGCCAAATGGAAATTAAAAACCAACAAGAAGAGATAAAAAATGACATATCCGAAATGAAAAACACATTGGAAGGTTTAAAAAGCAGAGTAGGGGAAGCTGAGGACCGGATCAGCGAATTAGAAGACAGGGTAGAAAAAATCAACCAATCAGAAAAACAAAAGGAAAAAACTATTAAAAAACAGGAAGACAGCTTAAGAGAACTATGGGACAACTGGAAACGTAATAATATTCGCATCATAGGAGTCCCCGAAGAAGAAGAAAAGGAGCAAGGGATAGAGAATATATTCAAAAAAATAGTGAGAGAAAACTTCCCTAATTTGGTGAAGGAAGAAGGCATTCAAGTTCAAGAAGCACAGAGAGTCCCAAGTAAGAAGAACCCAAACAGGCCCACACCAAGACACATAGTAATTAAAATGCCACAAATTAAAGACAAAGAGAGAATCCTAAAAGCAGCAAGAGATAAGCAACAGGTTACCTACAAAGGGAACCCCATAAGGCTCTCAGCTGACTTCTCACAAGAAACACTACAGGCCAGAAGGGAATGGC